TACGCCACTCCACATAAAACGGGTCGTGAAACTCCAGTAATACTAATACTTGCACCTAGTATGCACATTCTTAGGGCGTCCAAGTCACACGTGATTTTCGGCGGGTACATAGATGGGTGTAAAAATCTTATTATTTGCATTGTGCCGCGACAATGATGAAAAACGGAAGGTTATACTAGTATAAATGGAGTTTCACGACCCGTTTTACGTGAAGTGGCGAAATTCACGCTATGCAGTAGTCGGGAAATATATATTTTTCACTAGTGTTTTTCATATCACTAGAGTCAAGAAACTCCAATAATACTCGTACTAGTAATACGTATATGAATGACAACGGTGCTTTCACTAGTAGCCATCTCAGAAAACGAGCACACGTTTCGATTCACAACTTTACACTATCATCAACCCACAAAATGATCCTATACAAGATCCTGAAATAAGTACAGCTTCACCGTTTTACGTGAAGTGGCGTAATACTCTGTGAAAAACGCGATATTCGCGGTGATATATTTTTTTCGCTAGTGTTTTTCATATCACCAGTGAAACTCCAGTATTTGACGACTCGTAATAAACAATTAATACATATCGTCGTCTCGACTTACTGCTAGCCACTAGTAGTTCCTGAACGGCACATGGGAGATTAACTCCTTTTATCGCAGTCAACTTGTGCGCTGCTAGAGCCCATTCCAGTTCTGCTGGTGACACACCCTCGTCACCGATCTGAGACGAAAGGACAGTGTGTGGGGGGGAGGGGGGGGGATATGTGCACATAGTCAACTACATCTGTTGGTGATGACAATATGAAAATTCCGAGAGAAAATTTCGGGAAATTTTTGTACACTTCTACCTGAATTCGTATGAAAACTTCTATAATTAGTAAGAAAACCGCTGAGTTCAGCTGAGGTAAGCGAACATATATATTCCTACTCCGACACTAGAGTTTCACCCGTGATATGAAAAACACTAGTGAAAAACATATTTAACGACTATAGCATACCGCGAATATCGTGTTTTTCACCGAATTTCACGCCACTTCGCGTAAAACGGGTGAAACTCCATTGAATCGATTTCTTACGTAAACTGCTATAATTACTGAGGAAACCTCTGAGACCAGCCGAGAAAAAGATAAACCAAACATATATTCCTCCAACACTGCCGACTCACCTCATCCTCCCCACGCTTGAGCGAGAACATATCAGTATCATTGAAAGTTCTATTGCAATATCCAGTGATCGCTCTCTCACCGAAAACAGCAACCAAATCGCGGGGTATCGGCCGTTCGAGTAAATCGAGATCTGCGGGAAAACAAAATTCCACCACGCTTGAGTTTAACACCAACTACGATCGAACAGAGCTTCGAGTTTCTTATCGATTTGCGGTTCCTGCTCAGTTATAATGAGAGAACCATCTCTGTCACTGTGGTAGCTTGAGACCGCCGAGTAGTCGTCCGAATCTTGGAAGGAAAAAATAATGATATTTCGAATACCATAACACGGTGAAGTTTCACCCGCGTTTCGTGAAGTGACGTAATTTTTTACGTAAAGTGAATAGAAAGAACTCTTCGCGAATCACCCTTTTTCATCACGTGTTGTTCACGTAAACGACATTAACTAACCTGTTTCAATGACATGCCCCGGCTGTGACGGCGACCTTAGGAAGCTCAGAGGGCCTAAAACATAATAGTATTCCACAATGAGGAAAGACTCCGACAGTGTGGAAGTGGATTTTGAGCAAAATTTGGCGATTTTTTTTCTGGTTTCTCTACACTTCTACCCTAGTTACTGAGAAAACTCCCAAGCTCAGCTGAGGAAAGCAAACATATACTCCTCCAACACAGTTGACTAACACGTACCATTTCGCTCCGCGAGTAAGTGACTTCGTCGTGATCTCCGTAAGCTCTTCCGTCGCCCCAACTCCTTTTCAACTTTCCTCTTACGCTTCAACACGCCCATACGAGGCACTACTAGTCTGGTCGGCTTCGTAACGGTACTGCGAATCATTCTCCCACCTAAATGATTAAATTCGAATACTACTCGGGAATAGTCCAAAACTGCTCAAGAAGGTACGACTACAGTGTGAACAAAAGTGTTGTGCAAAGTAATATTTTCAACACCTTCAATTTTTGGAGGTTCGAGAGTCAATTGTGAACTGGTATACATCGTTTTAGAAGCGTTCTGCAAGTTAGTTGATAGTCGAATTCTTGAATTGGAGAAAGCAATCTCCAGAAATTAGATATGCACAACGGCTCGGTGCACCCTATAGCTTGTGGCTATACAAGCGCAGTTCATGTCGTATGCACTTCCACCCGTCCCTCTGTGGACTCTTCTTCGGCGATGAAAACATGTCAGACTTCGTGAATGATTCTGATCCACCAAGAAATGGCCGTGTGCAGAAGTATGAACTACGTACACGTAAACCGACCTGCGGCCGCAGTACGAGGACCAATCGACGTAGCGTGTATTCCGCAGCTTTAACGATACCAATGGATTGGAGGGGCGTGATTGTTCACAGTGTGGTGGGAAGGGGGATATGCACATGGTCAACTACATGTGATGATGACAATGAGGAAATTATGAGGAAATTTCGGTTTCCGTATACTTCTACCTAAATTCGTGTGTAGCAGTTCACACACGGGGCTCCATAGAAGTCTACAGAAACCGATGAGAATCCCCAAAAATTCCTCTGAATTCCCATATTGTCATCAACACATGTGGTTGACCATGTACAGCGCACATTGTGCCCATCTCCCAATACTGATCGTCTTCGACCACTAGGTCACGACTAGAAAGTTACGATGACTTTCTTGCGGTCTATCCGATAGAAACTCTCACCCTCTCCCCACCTCATAGCAGGAAGCAATTTTTCAACAGCATCCACTTACCCGTAGCTGCCGTCTCCATCACATTCCCTGCAATACGAGTAACCGCGTCAGTCACTACTCCCGCCACAGTAGCAGCACGTTGTCGTGCACCTGTTATTACAATGTGGGGGAAAATACACACATGTAAAAATGCTTAGGAAATTTCGGGTAAATTTACTATTGGTTTTTTACACTTCTACTTCAAGTCATATATCAACTTCTTTAATTAGTGAGGAAACTCCCAAGCTTAGCTGAGCAATCCTAACATATAATCGTCCAACACTATCCCAAGAAGCCTTCATTTACTCGGTCTAATCACTGCATCACCACCAAACGGTGCATCCTTCAGCAGCGACATTCGGAGAATTCTGGAGCCTCCGGAGACAACCACTTCAATGATGACAGTTTCTGACGCTTCAGTAACCAGCTTCTCATGAACCTGTCGAAAGTTAACGTCCCGCGGCATCTCGTAGAGCCTGATCAACTTGCCTTAATTCTCGCAAGCTCGATTTCGATTACTCCGGGAGTTCTCATAGATTTATGTCGGACCAAATCTGTCACTTCATTTCGGTTTCGAAGGTCCACCAATCTTCTCAAACGCTCTTCTGCCTCGAAACGCAACTGATCAGAAAATAATATTGGAGTTTCATCCATTATATGAAAAGCACTAGTGAAAAACATATTTTTAATTTTACCTCGCGAAAAACGCATGTGAGCAACAAATAACGCGTAAAACACGTGGAATGTTTTACGAAATATGGGGTGATGTGTCGGTGTAATTCGCCAATTATTTTCAATTCACTTCATTTCGCGTTTATCACATGAACTACTTCACGCCACTTCACGTGAAACGGGTGAAACTCCATTAACCGCGAATCTGTTAGTATACCACGTAGATAGCCAAGTCGTAAATTCTCACACAGTCAAGGACCCGATCTAGCTTTGAGAGATAACGTCTCCCAGAATTTGACAACAATAAGGGGATTCCTAAACTGATGACATTTACATGGGAAACTATTCGAATAATGTGTTCCCAACCATGTGGAGAATTTTAACGAGTTCCTCCGGCAACATAATACACACTGCACACGTTAGATTCCCACATTAGTGTCTTACCTGCAGAATTCTCCTTCCCGCAGGGTCATGCCAAGAAAACTCGATAGAAGTGCCTACATGACACTCCGCATCACGTTGCAATACGATCGATTCATACACGGCTCGAGCTGCTCCCAAGGCAGCTCAGACAAACCGGCTTGTCGGAACCAAACGGTTTCTGTATACATGTTGTGCAGTTTGAAATCCGGCGCAGTAGGAGCCCGAAGCGCAATGAAGATCGTTGCGTTGTCGGGCGTACCTTGTCACGATCTCCATGAGGCAATCATTGAGAACTAGTCCCACCAGTGCGAGGGAAATATGCACGGGTTGGTGACAATATGAAAATTTAGAGGAAATTTCGGGAATTCTTAATGGTTCCTGTCCACTCCTACCCTAATTCTTATAGAAACCACAATGTTTAGTGAGGAAACTCCTGAGCTCAGCTAATTGGAGCAAACATAAATTCCAAAACTGCCTCCCACTTGTGTAAATCTCCGTAATGACGAATTCGCCCTTTTCCTCATCACTCATAGACCGTCGCTTGCAACTATGTCGAATTTGCATGGTTCCTACCAATTCGCTACTCTCAGCAGAGTCGCAATAACAGCTTACCAAGATCGGAGATACAAAATGGGTAACTCCACGAGCGTAGAGAACCTCCAATATGCGTAGCCTTAGACCGTTGCACACTAGCAAGCATAGCCGACCGTCCCAAGGCTGCTCGAGACGGCGCTAACTCATCTGGTTCGACACAACTGATGTGCACCTTGATCAACACATTCGGCAATCGCAGGGAATTCTGTTTCGCATACCATAACTTTGTCATCAGCATCAGTGTGTTGAGGATGAAATGACATTCGGCTCGACGGGTGTATACAAAAATGGTGATTTCCCGACTCTTCTTGGATCTGGCCAGATTTTGGACAGGAAAATCTCACCCGAATCTCACCCATATCTGTCGGCCTGTCAAGTTGACGAATATGAATCGAGGAACCAGTTCAATGATCCGAGTCCGCACGAACGGTGGCGGACTCAACGTGATGTTAACGCCAAGCCAGTGCGCCGGTTGGCGTTCGCCTTTCGGTATAACGACTTGGCCGGAAGCTGCGGTCTGAAGGGAAACCATGACCTCAGGAACGCTCAGAGTGATCTCACATCCACCCTGAAAGCCTCGCTTAGCTCGCCACTGGACTGTACCGCTGGTAGGCATCCTGCACGGACCCGCATGGTCTTCCTCGGATCCCTATTAGTGCTGATATCAGTCCTGGAGTGCGTCCAGAAACGACCAAGTTGGGACCGGTTCGCGACAAGACCATCGCCGAAGCCCACGCGCCAGAGGTATATGGGGAACTCCAAACGATTGACGATCCAGTAAGCACTATACAGGGTGATGAACCTCGCTAAGGACTGCAGTCGTACACGCCCTTCTCGGGATAGCGATACGACTTCTGACGGGTCGAGTGCCGTCGCTACCTCAATACGGATATACATAGGAGGAGCATTCTTATCTCGTCGTGACCTCAGCCTTAGCACAGAGTCGTTGAATCTTCTCTTGAGAAAATATATGTCCACAGCTTCACTCTCAAATTCCCCGGCTTGAACGTATAACCGTTGCATCAGCCGTGGGCATTGCACATTTTCACCAGGACGAAGATCACGGCAGACCCAACCAGCACTGTCATCTTGATCGAGCCCAGGGGGAACCAGGCGAACCGACACGTTGCGGCACAGTCTATTGCGGACTTGCAACGCCCACTCCAATAGGATCTCAAAGGAGAGATCCGAAGCCCTTGTCTTGCGCCCGTGACTGCTAACAGCAATAACTGTTGAGGTTAAAGACACCTTGCCATTCACCGCGCCTTCAATTGGTGCGTCGAACTCAAACGACGACCCAGGTAGCTGGCTGTAGTCCTTCATTAACGTAGACTGATACCGAGCCAGACTCTCCAAAGTAACGCTCGGGAGTAACGGCGATAAGCACTTCTCCAATCGCGCCCACGACGCATCGTATTCAGAACCGTGCCAGAGGGACTCCTCTATAATAGGCTTGCATACGTCCCAAAGGCCTAGCCACGGCGATGCGTATTTTTTCTCCCCGATAGTCCTAGTTTTCGACCGGAAACATTGCTCGGGCAGAAGCCAATCGATAGGAATCGCTTCAGCATCGCCGGGCGCCAACACCAAATGAGGCGGCGTGCTGAGGTTGCGGACGGACATTTCTGCCCGGGTCGAACTCTGAGTGCCTCTTGTGTGCTTCGATGCACCAACCAGCTCATTCTCGTCAAGACTTGTCCATTGCCCTCGCCGGGGCCTCACAAGAACAAGCGTAGCACTTGTGTCGTTAACCACAGCGTACAGAGACGATATGAAGACATTCCATAGGGACAGCGTAGGGTGAAGTTCCACCCTGACCATAATGCGAACCGTAGCCCAATCGCGGCGCACTCGGCTGAGAATGCTACTCTCGTTATCATCGGCGTTCTGTGGAGGAGACAGACCCCTGGCTAGGCCCTTAGGGGTGCCCTTTAGCACGCTAGCTGTTCGGAATGCGTCATACGGCACTCTGAAGCTGTGAATGCGGGAGCCACTCTGATTGAGTAACCTCAGTCGTTCAAGGAAGATCCTCTTCCGTCCTAGCTGCACACACAAGTCAATAGGCAGAGTACTGCCATCAGCATCATTGACCTGCAGTGGGAGCCCCTCTCGACAGCCACTCATGACCTCCTGCCATTCCCCAGTCTGGACGAGTTCACCAGCGTCCCTCGCGGTGCGCACCAGAACAGGCAAGCCGGTCAAGTTAATCACCCTAGGGCCTTCGCGTTCCATCCCACATACCTCCAGCGAGCTGAAGGACTTCCTGAGGTCGGCCAGAGTTAAACGCTTGTGCGCAGACTCGCCCTCAGGTGACACAAGCGAGTCCGGACTCGGCGGTGTTGAACGAAGACTAGGCAAGCTCAGATACCGTCCACGCGCCAGACGTGGGGGGTATCCGCTTTCCTGCATAGCTCGCCAAAGTGATGGTATCATCTGTTGTGACGGCAGCACTCTCCTTGTGCACGACAAGTTACTGTTGGGACCAAATTCATTGCCAGCCGATGATCGCACGAAGTCAAATCTGGAATCGGGCTGAGGAATAACTGGTTTCCGGACAGTCACAGCATCGACAGTTGACGCTTCCATGGTCGTGAGCGAATTCCACTCCTTGAAAAACATCATTTTCTGCCATAAGCTGGCTATGGACCAGTCGATTGCCCTGTGGGGCTGTACCCCTACTGAAGGCTCCATTATGACTATATCGGCCTGGTCGACTGGCGAGGACATACCCAACAAGGTCGCCGATGTGAAGCGGTCAACGAGTACTTTCCCTGTGGAAAACTCGCGGGTCGCGGGCCCTCGCTCAGGTACTTGAGCGGAGATATTCACCCGTGAACTTTTTTGTTCACATGGGGACACCGCGCCCCACTCCTTCAGGTAATTCTCATCGATTGTTGATGTAAACTCCTGCAGATGGTTCACAAGCCCATAATAGAATCTCATAGCTGATTCCAAACAGCTTTCGGTGACCAGAATATTAACCCACGTGGAGTTTAACGCCAACCGCCAGAGACCGCCCCTGTCTGAGCCTAGTGCCATATGCAACTGCACTGGCTCGATACAAGGCTCATAACTGCTGAGCGAACGGTTATACACGTCTACGCCCATACAGAGGTCAGCCAGGTAATTTTGCACCAGCGAGGGGTAGTCGTTCTCAGTAGACACTTCTATGTTCAAATCTTCGACTGTGATCATGGCGAACTTCAGCGTAGCTTTGGGATTACCCCCGGATGGAAAGGCTATGACTCTCGGAGACTCTACTATCTCCATTTGCAATGACTCGGCTTTCAATGTCAATCTAGTAGTCCCATTTTCCTTCACAGAAGCGACGCCATAAGAGGACTCGCTCGGTGGACACGATTTTGTGTCAAATTCGGGAACGATGTTCTCTTCATTATCAAGAGACATACAGACACCACCAAACACTCGTTGGCAATCTGCATCTACCGCAGTCCACAAGCTCATCAGAACTTCTGCAATTGCTCCAATGATAACAATGTCCGGAGTGGAGACGACGAACTTGATCGGGTCGACCTCCACACAAGTCGTCACTGAAATGCCGTTCTCTCTCGTAGTGGAGTAGAACTGGACACGAAATGGTGACACGACATTGTGTGCAGCTGTCCCACAGAGTTTCCAAGTCCCCGACGATACATGCCTGGCCACGCCCAACGACAGTGTTCCTTGAGTAAGAGTAATAGCACTAGTTACATTCTTATACCATCCAAGTGGCTGTGGCTCATCACACGACCATACTGCGCTATAGTTAAGGTTAAAGTTCGCCAACACAACTGGTGATGAACTCCCTAAGTAATCTCCTAGAGGAATCCATATAGAACACTTGATATCGGTAAAGTTCACAGACCATCTGCTCCAGCTGTTAACCCCAGCAGAACTGCATATCTCTGCAGTGTCCAAATACCCAACCAGACGATAGCGCTGTATCGTCAAGCTATCAACTATAGCCGCGATCAGCGACAGGCGTGTCCCAAGTTTGCATATATTATGCAGGACTGGCCAGTCGATCGCAAGAACTACTGGACTGATGCCCTCGAGCACAACGTCGCATTCGGTGGGTGAATCGCCATGGACGCGTACCAGAGTGTTGGTATTCGGCGGAATCGCCAGCCGCTGACGGAGTTGATCTTGTAGTCTATTCAAAGTGGAATCCTTGAACTCGTCAACAAAACCATGCGGCTTCACTGCGGAAGGTTGCCCGGTACTGAACACCCTCTGGTACGGCTCATCTCGGTCCGAGACAGTCCCGCAAAGAGCACCGATTTCCCATAGCTGGTCGAAGCTACCGTCCGCGTTGCTCATCATAGTCATGGACTGGCCGTTCGAGGTGACAGACAGAGAAGCTGTCGTAATCGTCAGCGTGATTTTGGGACAGTCGAATACTGCCCAGAGTGAAAAATTACCAACCGGAGGATATGCGCTGCTAGGAACTATATCAGCTCCAATGAACTCAGCTATAGGAATGGATTCCGTTGTCATTGGAGTAGGCGAAATTGACACCTCGCATTCCCGAGGGTTCGACGCGTACTCCACTCTCTCTAACTCGCGCATCGCAGAATGCAATACCTCGATTACCTGAAGAGGACGAATCGCGAGAGTCCCAACCCAAGTTTTCAGGAACACATAAACACTCGGCTCAATTCTCATATGACTGATCCGGCGTGGTCCACCGTACCCTCCCGCGGCCTTCTGGACCCCGGAAATCACAA